CTCTCTCTCTCTCTCTCTCTCTCTCTCTCTCTCTCTCTCTCTCTCTCTCTCTCTCTCTCTCTCTCTCTCTCTCTCTCTCTCTCCAGGGAGGCAGAGACCTTCAGCGCGGACAACTCCGAGCACAAGCAGATCCGCTCACGTGGCGTTAATGTGCTCACATGCATGCATGCCCGGAGTGTAGCACCACCCAGCATTTTTGGAACTGATGGGGAATGGAGTATACTAGCATATTGACCAACAGGCCTGGCAGCTCATTGGGTACAACCCCATGAAGTATTGAAATACAGGACCCGAGTTCGGATCCAGATGCAATCACATGCATGCACAGAACATTCGTAAGCATCCTCCTCTTGTAAGACGGCGAGGGGAAGAAAAGGAAGGAAAGAGTGAGTGGATCAAAATAGAGACGTGGATTCTCAATCCACGATAAGCGGATCGAAATCGATTCATTCAAATCAATCACTAGATAAGCGCCATCGCGTCAATAATTGATTGATCGGAATGAGGAATCCACGTCTCTATTTGATCCGCTCACTCCTTCCTTGATCGATCGATTGATTGATTTCGGATGCTGACCAATCATATCAATGAGGAAGTAATCAATCAATCAATCGAGAATACACATCATCTCCAGTAGTACTTACGACGCCGAGCAATCGTCACAGGCCAATCAATCAATGTACCAATCAATCAATCAATGTACCAATCAATCGATCAATACCAATCAATCAATCGATCAATACCAATCAATCAATCAATACGAAACAACCAAATCAATCCATCAATCAAGCAGGCAAGCACTCAATTGAGATAACGACCACAAAAGATTCCTTCTACCAATCAATCAATCAATCAATCAAACAATCATATCAATCAATCAATCTACCAATCAATCAATCTACCAGCCAATCCATCAATCCATCAATCAAACAATCATATCAATCAAGATTTCTTTAACCAATCAATCAATCAATCTACCAATCAATCTACCAATCAATCGATCGATCAATCAATCAGTCATATCAATCGGTCAATCAATTAATCAATCAATCAGTCACATCAATCGATCAACCAATCAATCATATCAATCAAGAATGCAAGCAATTAATTGAGATAATGACGCCGACGAGATTCCTTCCTTCTGGCCATATGCTTTAGTGAAGCACACCATCCATTCATTAATTCAAATTAAATAAATCGAACATTATCCACAAGTTTATCCATCTATCCGTGTATTTAACTAAATTGACACATTATGCGCGAATCGATCCCTTGATTTCTCAAAGCGATCAATCAATGGTTACAATCAAATCACTCGATCGATCATCGATCCACCAGTCCAGTCAGGAGAGGACCAAATACGCAGAACCGACCTAAAAATAAAAATTAAAAAAAATCAAAATGAAAAAAAAAAAAATCGTGTTATTGTCAATTACTAGTATGATTTTCTTAACATAGTATGATAGTAGTACGCAGTTTAGGTCAAGAGAGGGATCTATAGGCTACCTTCTTCCCCCGAATACAACGTACGGTCATTATAGCTGTGCATTTGAGCCACCTTTCAGTCTAGATACAGCTATATAATGACCGTACGTTGTATTCGCGGGAAGACGGTAGGCTACCAGCCGGGCCGCTCGGGTCGCCTTGTATTCCCCGGCGGCCGCGGCGGGCAAGGACCAGCGGAGGTTCCAGAAAAAAAAAAAAAAAAAAAAAAAGTATGTCATGCAGAAAAGTAAACTGAACAACTTTTGCCTCAGGGTCACATCGAAATTCTTTACCTTTTTTTAATTTATTTGTTTTCCGTCCGGCCGGGCAAGTGGTCGCGGGCCACTATGGTAGCCCAGTCTATACGTGTGCTTTACTTTTTCTTATTTTTTTTAAATTTTTAATACGTGCAATTATAGTTTTTTTGCCCTCGTTCTCATATCCGCTGACCTTTTTATTTTCCTTTTTTCTCCCTCTTTATTTCCTATCTGTTTCTTTTTTTTTTTTTTTTGCGCCCCTTATCTGTTTTTATCCCCTTTGTCTTCGATCCAAAATCGTAGAATTGGTTGAAATTTGAAGGAAAAAAAAAAAAAAGACGAAATTTGCTGTATTAAAACTTAAAAAAAAATTAAAAAAATTATGTGCATTGTTATCTTATCAACCAGTTACTTCATTTCATGTTCTTAAAGCCAACGATAGTGAAGCCGCGTCCTCTTCGTCTTGCCTTAAAAGGAAAGAAAGTAATATTTGAAGTTTACCTTTATAGGAAAGAAAAGAGTATATATGCCTTCCTGGATGCTTATATGTTGGTGATCGACGTAACGAAGCAAGCAGCTGCGCGCCGATGCCTGCAGCCGGAGCCAATATTACTATTATTAGTCAATTAACTAGTAGTTAATTAATTATTTGATTTTATTTCGTCCTTTTCCTTTTTTTCTCTCCCTCCCCTTTCCTTCTTCCCTCTCCCTTACTTTTTTTTTTTTTTTTTTTTTCACTCATTCGTGATTCATCCAAGATTTACTCAGTAAAAAAAAGTAATTCAAAAATACTTTTTTTTTTCACTCATTCGTGATTCATCCAAAGGTTCTCACTTTTTCATTAATCAGTAAAAAAAATAAAAAAAAGTATTTCAAAATTACTTAAGAGCATCCTCCAAGTTCCTACTAAAAGTAATTACGGAGCTATTTACGTAAGCAGCAAGCAGCTGCGCGCCGATGCCTGCAGCCGAGCCCATTTTCACATCTGCACGCTATTCCCGAGTTAAATCACTCTCTTATGTGTGTGCAAATCTCGATCATCGCCACTTGGCCTCTCTCTCTCTCTCTCTCTCTCTCTCTCTCTCTCTCTCTCTCTCTCTCTCTCTCTCTCTCTCTCTCTCTCTCTCTTTTTGTGTGGGGGGGGGGTTTAAACTTTAAATAGGATTTTTATTTTTTTG